AACTACCTCCCCTAAGGGTAATTTTTGTTTTAAAAAAGTAGGATAAAAGAAATGTCATGTGTACAAGGATACAATCCACATTTTTTAAGGATATTACATGGAATAAAAAAGATTGCAAAAAAAAAAAAAAAAAAAATCATACCTTAAGGGGGTCGTGTAAGATAGAAACAAACATGAGGAAATTTTGGTAATTACCGATAAATGGGGGTGTTTTTCGTAATTTAGCCAAAGTTCATGAGGATTTTCATAATCTATCATATTAACAACAATTATTGTTATTTTTATGTCTTGACGTTTGCTTACACCCTTATAATTTAAATAATTTTAATGTGAGTTTGATAATATAATTAAATATTAATTTCTAATATATTTAATGTGTTTTTTGATGCTTCAGTTACCACACATAAGGAATTTGATATAAAGGTTGCGAGATTGAATATAATTGTTTTTTATACAAAATAATAGATCATTGCAAAAAACATTGATACAAAATCAGCATTAGTATTGTGATTAGTATTAGCACAAGAAAAATAAGGCACATAAGGTGCACACAGACAGCAACAGAAAAATAAGCTCCACACAGACAGCAACAGAAAAATAAGGCACATAAGGTGCACACAGACAACAGCAAAAATAAAGCACATAAGCTGCACACGGACAGCACCACACCAGCTGTACACAGACAACAACAGAAATATAAAGCACACACGATGATCATAGGAGGCCCCAATGAGCCACTGTGTTGCAGAGTGCACCAGACGGATTGGAAGCCAGGCTATCTCAGACTACCCCCTCCCCCAAATTCCTGCGACATTAAGCGGTCCGGACAAAGGGAGTTTGGTGTGGCAAGTAGACTGAGTTAGACTAGACTCTGAAGGTAGTATATATAGCAATAGCGAAAGTATTCTCTGACCACTAAAGGCGCACCATAGATATTCTAGGATTTGACCCAGGAATAAGAGCAAATGAGTACAAAAACAATATTCTTAGCTAGATGAAGATAATAGAAGTTCGAGTTTTTAGTTTGTTCCACTTATATATCTTTTTTTAATTATTGATTTTTCTTTAGTATTGCAATTTGCACATATCAATCAGTGAACATTATATTTTATCGCATGCATGTGTATATTTAGTTTAAGACATTATATTTTAAATGTGTGTATGCATTTGGACTATATACGAAGTTGAGCCAATTATATATGAGTGAACATTGAGATTACTTTCATTTTGTAAACGAGATAAATATGTAAGATGCCCATTATAATCCATAACCAATTAATATTATCTTAATGTATATCCTGTCACTATATGTTATATAAATATATATTTAAAAAAAAATGAATGTTTGCCTTTCTACATATAGTGAGGAATTTGGCAACAAATTTCAAATTTAGCGACAAATATAGCCATGAATTTTTCAGTTGCTAAAATAACAATGAATTGCTCGAGGGATTGTTAAGTTGCTTAGCGATGATTGTAGTCATGGATTGTTATGCTAAACTATACATATGGATTATCATTAGTCGTACCTGAAATTTAGCGACGCGAGTTTTATTTAAGGAAATAGCTACGGCCATTATTCGTCGCTAAATATTGATTAGCAACGGATTTGTGTCATTTTGCAATGGATTTGTCCGTTGCTAAATTTTGATTTTCTAATAGTGTATGTTTTTTTGTGAACGGGGACCAAATGTAAAACCGAGGTAAACTTGTGGGAGCAAAAGTCTATTTTTCCCACCTTATAATCTAACAAAAAGATTAAAAATTGTTAAATAAACTAATTAAACAAGTAAAAAACTTAGAAATGCAAACTTTAGGTCGGTGATTACGACTCTTTTGGCTTCAGAAGACACATAGATGTCAATTTTCTCGAACGGTTGGGTGAATCTAGAAAACAGAGCGTAACTTCTACCTCTGGCCTTCTTTTTTATAAACCATTTTTTTATGTTTGAAACTACACTTCAAAACTTTTTAAGAAATGAACTATATTCAAAAAAATTCTTCTCTCAAAAGTCCGCTTTGTGAAACTAATTTACATATCGAGAAGTGTTCAAACATATAATTCACTTGGCACATAAATAAACAATTAAGCTTGGAGAAGTCTGCTTCGTGAAACCAAACAAATCACCTCATGAAATACTGACAGTCTCGAGAAATGAGGGATTAATTTGAATAATAGGATGGTGTCTCCTTAGAGAATTCTCTTGAAAATAGAATTGCTTGAGATTATGGAGATTACTCACTTCAATAGTACTTGATAACATTAGACATCTTTCGAGGCGCATAGTTCAATCAGAGGGTAAATTAAGATTATTTTGTCAAACATCTCTTCATTAATGTAGAGTTTTTCGAGATCAAGTTCTTATATATGCTTAGAGAGTATCTTGTGATCTTCAATAGTGAAAATGAATCTTCTCACACACAAATCATTGAGAGATTCAGCTTCAAACACTATAGACGGCGGATGAACCTATATGTATCAATTCGAATAAACTTTGTTACACCCATATTTTGAAGTAATTGGATCCATTTTTCAAGAAACAAAACCGATTCTTAATCATACTTGTAGCACAACCTTTCATCACAATACCGTACGTGTTACACTTACTATGTTTAATTTTAGGGTAAATTACACCCACACCCCTGATGTATGTCAAAATAAATTTAAGGTCCATGTTGTATCAAAAATTACAATTACCCGCTAAAACATTGTTAGAAACTCTAATTGGATAATGCATTGGATACGTTGTTCCGATAGAGTTTTAACGGACTATTATTTTCAGCAAGTGGTGGAGACACATAGAGTTAGGGGTGATTTAAGAAATATAGGGGAAACCATCTCACCCCCTAGCTCTATGTTGTCCACCACTTACTGAAACTTATAGTCAGTTAGAACTCTATTGAAATAACATATCCAATGCATTATCCCGTTAGAGTTTCTAATAGTGTTTCAGGGGGTAATTGTAAGTACCGATACCACATGGACCTTAAAATTATTTTAGCATACCTCAGGGGTGTATGTGTAATTTACCCTTAATGCTTTGTTCATAATTGGTCTGCAAAGATATATAGTGAATCGTTTACGAATAATAGACTCATAATACACGCGACATAAAATAATGATGATCAGAAAATAGAGAATAAAAAAAGAATCTTGTACTTTGATATCTTTTATTTTGAAAAATTATCGGATAGTATTAATTATTAACTCTATCTCGTATAATATGTTGTAAATTATAAAAAAATAATATGTTATATTATTTTACTTGCTTTTAGAATTCAAGAAGTACAAAAAATAATTATTTCAACCTTGCAAGTAAATAAATGCAATTATTTCAAATTTAATTTATAAGATTTTAAAATCACATCAAATATATCAATTCAACAATTCGCTTTTAAGACGGATTAAATAGTTGTCGTAATTAAGTCTTGTATATCCCCACGTAATAATTTTTTCAATAATTCCTATAATAGCACTTGAGCAGCTAGTAAATAATAGCATCTGAATCGAGATTAATTCCAGTTTATGAGTAAAAATAATAATTACAAGTGTAAGAACTCATATACATGAATATTTGCTTGATAGAATTTCAATAACTTTCTGAAAAAAAATTGCCATTTTTTATTTTTATTTTATATAAATAAAATATAATATTCATAAAATCAAATATTTTATCTTCTTAAATAAATAAACGCAATCACATTCACTAGTAAATTTTATGGTACTCTACAACAATTCACTTACTACTTAAACAAACAATTCCACATAATTTTCTACTCACCAAAGAAAAGTAAAATAGTTCACTTTTCTATTGGAAAAAAAACAATTAATATTTTTTGCCTATTTTGCCCTTATCTTTTAACCACCCTAATACTACATTTGTTGACTCATTTCAAATGTCTCGGATCCTGTCTATATATTGAACGCCTGTGGCACATCAGAACTCATCACAGATACGAGTAATAGGCGTAAGAGATATTGAGTTTGTGTGAATAAAAGACATAAGGTGAAAAAATAGAGTTTGAATCAAAAGTAAAACTCGAAGATGGAGAAAGGAGAAAGCTCAAACATAGAATATAAATATACAAGAAGAGCACGCACGTCAGGTACAACTGCACTCAATTTTTCCTCCAATTCGGTTTTTAAGACTCAATCTATATGAACAATGCGCATAGTTTTTTTTTAATTTTTTTTTCAATTAAATTTTCACATCTCTCATTTGCAGAAGTAAAAAACAATTGTTAATTCGCTAGGTTTAGTTTTAGGATAGTCGATCTTCTAATAGCAAATCTGGTGCGATTTAAGTTCACAATATTTTTTATGCTTCATGGAAATCCTTGTGTTAATTAGATAAAAAACGATCTTTTGCCGCTTCCGTATATCATTCTATTCTGATTTCTTTTAAGTTTGACGAGCAACGTCTTAATTAATTTTAATTTCTATGGTACTTTTTAGAATTAAAAAAATGGGCAAACATACAACACGCATTAATATTAATTACTTTGATTTTGTTCGTGTACTAATTGGATCCCAATTTTTCATGTTTTCACTTGAATCCAACGCGTTGTAGTCAGTTGCTTAATTGAATTAAAAAAATTCACAGTTAGGGATTGTTCTTTAGCAAAACAAAATGTGACCATATGGATCAAATTATAACGGGTTATTAATGTGGATGAAATTGGTTTTGATAAAACCGGGAAATTTAAGTCAAAATAATCTTGATCTTTTTAAGGAGGCATCTCAGTTTCAATTCTAGTATTATGTTGCATATTTCATTTATCGATACATGTCATATGTATATACATATTAATGAGGTTATCAATATTTCTTATACATATGAACTCTGAATATGCATTTGAACTATATACGGGGTTTAGCCAACTATATATTCGTGTGTATTGAGATTACTATCATTGTGTAAAAAGAAGATAAAGAGATAAGATTTCCATTCAAATATGTTAATAACCAATTAATATTCTCTTTATATATATCATTTCAGGTATAGTCATCCGAGAAGGGGGTGCCGCCCGTGCAGCTGCTACCGCCAACATCGCGGGCCCCCCACTGAATGTCGTTGCTGAAGAAGTGAACCAAGAGCAGCAGGGCTTCAAAAGAGAGGCAGACGAGTACATGCCGATAGCCAATATCACCCGAATCTTGCGGCGTGTCCTCCCCACCCATGCCGAAATCGCCGACAATGCCAAGGAAGCTATCCAGGAATGCGTCTCAGAGTTCATCAGCTTTATCACCGCCGAGGCAAACCGGCGGTGCCGCCGTGACTACAGGAGAACAGTCACATCGGAGGACGTGCTGGCAGCAATGGCCTCTCTAGGTTTCGACGACTATTTGGAGTCGCTCACAGTTTTCCTCAACAACCACCGCACGCAGCAGGACCCCGAGCGTGGCTCTAGGAATCAAATATCGCAAATTGTTATGCGAGATGGCGGCGTCGGAGTTGGCTTCCTTCACCACCAGCAACCGCAAAGTGCTCCCACGGTGCGGCCGCCACCACCACTACTGGCGGCACCAACAATGGGGTATTATGTCCCCTTACCGCCACCTGTTGCTGCTACAATGGAAGACGAGGAAGAATTTGGTGGGGTAACAAATGAATATATCTTGCAGAACCATGGTGGTGGGGAAGGGTCCTCCGACGGCCGCGAGTTTGACCCGTTTCAGTAGTTTAACAGCCAAAATATGTGTCACTTAGGGTTGTTGCGCACATATTAAGAAACTAATAAATGTGTTTCGATTTTAGAGAAAAATATGTAGAATGACTAAAATATCCATGTTATTAATATTGTTTGCATTAATTCGCAGTCAATTAATGAATAGTAGTAAGGGTAAAATTGAGAAAATAGTAATTAATGCTTTATTGAAATTCTAAAGTAACAGATACTTTGAAACAAGAAAAATCCATCACAGCGACAGTTAATTTGGAACGGAGGGAATAGTAGAGTACTATGATTTATGATAAAATGCACTGAAAACCCACAAACAATTAAAAGCTTTTTTCTATGGTTGTTAAATAATTTTACTTTATTATCATTTTTAAGGGCTGGTAAATATTTTTTGCTATAGGCATATATTGACTTTTATAGATTGGTTGAAATTGATATTTTTTTGATTTTTTATAATAACATGTAGTTTGTCTCTTTATAAAAAATATGAACTCGATTTTGGTATAACAAACCAAAATTATCAAAATAATACTACTTTAAACGCCATTGGTACAATATCATAAATAGTGGTTAAAGTAATGGTATGACATTCTCAATACTGTAAGGCCTCTTTTGGTTTGATAGATGGGATGGATAATTTTGTTATGATTATATGATATAGCACTGTTCATAATTATATTAGTAGAAAAAAATTGGGTTTGGTTTGTAGGATTTACCTACTAAGGATAACTATAATATGATGTTTGGTTGCCATGATTTGGACTGATAAGGTGTGAAATAACACATTTGCCCTTAACGATAATTTATATAGATGACATTCTAATCGGTTTTCCTTTTTACAAACACTGATGTCAAGTTCCGAGGGGAAACTATGTGTTCTTTAAAATTATTGAGAAATCAGCCGTTTGCAAATAATTTCATTGTTTTGCAACTATTTGTAAAAAATATTTTACTTTAAAGGTAGAGGAGGAATGAAACCTTTAATTTATGAGCATTCTTCCAAATAATTGAGAAAATATATATATTTATGGCAAAAAAATGGACAAATTGCTTGTTTTAATTCTAAAAAATAAATAAATTTGACCACAAATTGAAAGAAAAATACAATTCAGACCACTAAAATACACAAAACAAATCACACACAAGAAATAAGACAATTCATCGACTTTTTTTGTTCTTGTACTTAGGCATATTCTCTACAGATTTTTTAAGAGTTGAATAAATTATGAGGAAAAAAATGGCCTTCAACAACACAATTGGCTAGTGTTTTCTCTCTCATCAATTGAAATGTTAGCATTTTTTCTTCTTCCTCAACATTCTGATCATCACCAGATCTACTCTTTTGCCCATAGCCACTATGCAATGGTACTTACTTAAACACACACACACACACACACACACATAAACACTTTATATTTGGCCCTCTCCTCAATACGATTTGTCAAATTTGCTCATAACTTACCCGGAATTTTTTTTTTCATTATTTCTTAATTCAACAACAATGGCGGCGAAACCCCTATCAACTGCAATAACAAACCAACAACAACGGAAGCAATTCCCCAGAAGCTACAACCCAAGAAGCAAATAAAGACCGAGCAACAAGAACAATGAATCGAAGATGTTTTTATGTTTTCCAATCGATGCGTTAAAGGAAGCAAAAATATTCTAACTCGAGTGTTTTCTGGTTAGCAAGGAAGTCGAGCATCTCCGCCAAATGTTTCGCTCCGCCGCTGGTCTCTCCACATCTGCTGCAGAACTAGGGCTAGCAATTTTTTTTAATAAGGAATTCTTCGTATTTATAATTAATATTGTTGTGAATAATTGCATACCTTAGGCTCTTTTGGTAATTTCGCACATCAATCTTTTGGCTGATTACACAATCCCACCTCAAGAGGTGGGATAATTTATCATTCATTTTCGTGATTTGATACCGGGCCCATAATATGTAACGGGCTTGTATCCTATATACCACACGCCGGATTCGGGGTGATTATATTGTCTATCACTCCTTATCAAGCGAACCAAAAGAGGCCTAAGAGCAAAGTATAGTATTATATAGTGTAGTCAATATCGTGATACGCTGCGATTTCCATAGAAACAATTACCCGGCATATTTATCGATCTTCCTCAAATATTGGTACATATCGCAAATATCGTGATACGATACAATATCACAATACGATAAGATATCTAAGATATTTTATTTTGAGGATGATTTGTGCGCTTTTAAACACATTTTGGGGTAACTTTGTGCAATTTTCACGACGTTGTGGGGAGATTTTGTGCAATTTTCAGCAAAATGTATTGTGATTTGGGCTATTTTTAGCACATTTTGGGTGATTAGTGCGATTTTCAACATGATTGTTTTATAATTACACTTGCGTTTGGATTTTTCTTTTAACTAGGTAGGTGCATGTGCGTTGCATATGTCTGATTAGTTAATCTTTTTATATTGAATTTGTATATTTATCCTAATATTATATTAAAAATGTAAAATATTAAAATAAACATATTAAATAATGTAAATTGAACTGAAAATTTTAGTTTAAAAGTTCCATTTTTTCCGCTACATTAGATTGCATCTCTAGATTTCAGGTTATGATCATAAATGATCATTTGGCAAATAACACGAATCGTTGCCGCCACTTTAAATCTCATGCAATTGTCCGAGCAAAATTTTCGAAACATCTTATAATTATTCTGCAATTCACAACTTTCTTAAAACCTGTAAGAAATTTTATGATTTCATATAATACAAATCAAAGATATGAACAAAACAATAAATTTTACACTAAATTATCACACATAGAAAATATTTCTATTTATATTGGTGTTTCAACCAACATTTATACATTAAAATAAGGGTAAATTACAAACACCACCACTGAGGTATGGTCAAATTACAAAAACACCCCTCTTGTTTGGATAATTACAACCACCCCCTCAACTCCTCAATTTAGTGGTCTTCGAGATTATATGGAATATTATCACTTTTGTAGCCGTTTTATCCCATTCAAACTCTACATTATGAAGCAAGATGATCATAATATGTGATCTTTAGCTTGTATATATCAGTTTGTGGTGCATCGGAAACTGTATTTTTACACAAAACGAGTACAAACTAGAGCACATTTCACGAAATCTAGATGATTATGTTGAATTTGGCACCATAAGGGTGGAGGTGTAAGAAAGAATCATAGTTGAGGAGGGTAGATGTAATTATCCAAACAAGAGGGGGGTTTTTGTAATTTGACCATACCTCAGGGGGGTGTGTGGAATTTACCCTTA